GTTTGCAGGTGTCCATGGTGGGGTGTAGCTGGTGGAATGTGTGGGAGGCTTGAGGCAGCTTGGGGAAAGGACTCTGAGATATTCATGTGCAGTCTGTGTATTTACCTTAGTAGCTACTGGATACACTGGGTCTGTCAGAATCTGGGAAAGGGCTGGAGTGGCTCTCATGCATTAATAATACTGCCTTGTGGTTAAGGAATGAGAGTTCTTCTTCCTGCAGTGAAGTCAGAGGTGAATTTAATGCATCCTCCTCAAGTGGGGAATCCCTTCCAGAACATTCCATATTCCGAGAGGTTGCCAGCTCCCCAACTACTGCAATTTCTGATTCCCAGCAGCTAGGGTAAATTCTCAAACTTTCACATATCTGACCTGCTGTGTCCTCCCTTTTACTTCCATGTTTAGCCACAAATGCTCACAAAATATTTGCCCTTAGTGAGAAGAGAAACCTGCCACTTTTGAGAGAACAACATGACCACTGAATGAATTTAATTCCTCTGTTCCAACCAAAAAGTATTATCTTGAAAATAATTGCTTACAACCCCTACACAATAAAACCTCTTAAATCTTTATTTCTATTTTTCTATTTCCCATCACAAATGTAAAAATGCACAGAGGAACACCAAGAAAGCCTTAGAGACAGGAATGACCATGATCACAAATGAGACCTGCTTCCCTGTCATAGAAGTCACTGAGTATCACATGGTCAGTCATGAGTAGCTGGAGGACAGGTGGGGACTAGAGAGAGGCTGATAACGTCTGGAGTCCCCACAACTGCATTTTCCTCCAGTTTCTTCCAGTATCCCAAAGTGAGAACACATTTATATCTCCACAGTGCCTTTCCAGAGGAACCTCCCACATTCACCATTTTGTTTTTCTTGCAATTTTTCAGTGGCATACATTATTAGTACAAGGGAAAATCATCATGATAAATTCATAGATATAACACTGTACTTTAAAAAAGCTTGTGACCTGTATTATACTCCCTGTATCTCCTCTTCCTGATTCAACACATAGCTAGTCCTCCATTTTATACTAATGTCCAATTATTATTACAGTTATTATCATTATAATTGCTCATCTTTTAGATTTAAATTCTCTGTATGAGTAAAAGCATGTGATTGCCTGCTTGGCTAATTTTCCTCAACATTATCCCCAGTTCCATCCTATTTTCCTGCAATCAACATCATTTCATTTTCTTATGTCTGAATTATGCCCTATTGCAGATATAAATCCCATATTTCTTTACCCATTCAGTGTTTCCTGGGCAAAAAGGTGATATCCAGACCTGGGATGTTATGAACAAGGCTGCTATAAACATGCGTGTGCAGTTCTTCCTTTCAGAGGTTGATTTACAATCCTTCAGATACATGAGCAAGAGAGGTATTGGAGGGTCATCAGGAACCTCAGTTTGCTTGCTCCAGCCCCACTCAATCCCCTGCAAATGAACTAGGTTGTGACATTATAGCAGCTGAGAGGGGACTAGATGGCAGGCAATTTTCAGCTCCATTATAATATTAGGTGACTATGGCCTTACATGTAACCATCATTGTCTGAAGCTCTGTTATGTGGCATATGACCATGACAGCTAAATGATCATGTCCCTATGTGCACAGAATCATGGATGATGAAGGCATTCTGATGAGAACTCAGATGGAAATGAGCAACAGGTTCTTGGGTACTATAGGACAGGATGTCCTTATGAATTGTGGTACATGACATGGCTGAAGTGTGTTCATGCCCTCCTGGGCTCTGGATGTCAGAAGTTAAGGCAGTGAGCCAGGACATGTGACAGAACAGATCTCTAAACACAGAGTGAGTGGATTATACTGCTTTCCCAAACTTCTTGTTAAAAAAATTAAGAAAAGAGAAAAAGGACAAGTATGGAATTTAAAACCAAATGGAGGTTAAACTTAGAGATCTGGAAAGCCTCAGCCTGGCCATGTTGTAAAGAATGCAGAGGAGGGAGAACAGGATGGGGGAGATTTGGAAGGCCATATCCAGAGGCACTTATGGTGAAGTGACTGGTGTGGACAGAAGATAGCCAGGTGCTGTTCCATCAGGATAATGGCAGAATGACCCAAAGGCTTTTCAGAAGCTGTCACACCATCACAGAATCATAGTACAGGATTATGAGTGCAACACATCATTACAGGCGACACAGAACACTTCAATGAAATCATGGTTCACTGAACTTGATCAACTGTAGTTTCTGCCTCATGCAATCCTATACTGTAGCCCACACTCTCTGCTGGTGAGGCTCGAGTGTGTCCAGGTACAGTGTGGGATTTGACAGTTGTCCCTGCAAAGGGCACAGTCGAAAAATCTTGATGGTGTCCATCTGGTGCTTACTCTGCTGGTCTACATAATCCTAGAGCTGTGAGGCAGGGAAACCACCCGTTAGATTTTATAGGGTGGCCATATAGCCTCAGCATCAAGCAGAGAATTAATGTTGTAGAGGAGACAATGCAGAGAGCCTTCATGGGGGCTGGGCCTGTACAATTTTTGTGTAAGAACCTGTCAAGGGAGACTTAACAAGGAAAATCTGTAGAGGATATATGGATGTGGTACTTCTGCCATGACACCAGCACTGTAGATGCTTTATTTTTCAAAATAAACCATGAAGATCTGAGGAAACCAGCTCCCATACTTGAAGCTCCTGAGTACAGTGCACACAGCAGAATATGGGTGGGCCTGACAGGTTTGTGGATTCTATGCCTACTGCAATGTGAATCAATAGAGCATTGATGTTTAATGTGTGACCCACTGAATTTTAAGATTACAGGACTTGCTATCCATCTCATCTTTCACATCATCCATTTTAGAATGGGGTTGTCAACCAAGCACCAGCGGTGACATATTCCTGCAGTCCTCACCCTATTTGATTTAATATCCAATTTGTAAAACATATTATTAAACTCAGATTATATAGATGATACTTGAACAAGTTCCTTTGTGACTATTGCAATGGAGGAATTCATTTAATATGGAGAAGGTACATGAATTTTTGAGATCCAATGTGGGAAGCTATGTTTTGAGCACATACAATGGTCAAAGCTCCTGTTTATAACTTAATCAACAAGGTGATATTTACAGCTGTGTCCTGTGCAGCATATCTGACTTCTTAGATGGAATTAGTAATTAGTATTCCTGTAATGGGGCTTATGAGAGGGAATAGACCTCCTGTGTGATCTTCTGCAATGTGAGGACTCAGTGAGCCTCTCTTCTTCCATGTAGTTCACAAGGTGTAAGGTTTTTCAGTACAGCAACAAACATGTACAAAGACCTCCTGCATCTGTGAACCATGGAATCCTCACACACTGGTGTCCCAGCACACTTGGTCAGCAGTAATACATAAACCATGTCCAATGTAACCTTCACACTGGTGTCTGGTGACCTCTGCCTCAGGGACACTATACATTACCGCTGTGGTGTGTAGGAATTGAGAGCAGGGCAGTGTTGTGAACAGCACAAGGCAGAGATCTGGGTCCAGGTTCCATATTCCATGTGTGTCCATTACTCCTGTAAGTCTGGAATCTGAGGTGCTTATCTTTCAATTAGCAGATAGTCCAGTATAATATTTTTTTTATCTTTGCTGTCAGTGTAGGAGCATCTTTCATTAGATCTCTACAACTACATGCTGAATAACACCTTGATGTATAATAACTTGAAACATAAAAATTACCTCAACACCCATGAGCAGGCCAGTTAACAAAAGTTAATTAGGTGTTTCATCTAAGTGGAAATTAGTGAGCATAAAACACATAAATGACTTAGCCCTCAAACATGGGGGATTTTGAAAACCATTATTATTTAAATATGCAAAATAATTAAAACTGTATACTATATATGCTAGTTGTATAAATTTTGAAAAATGAAAATTAATGTAACACAACATATAGAAGGCCATGAGCTGTCTGGAGATAGAAAAAGAGGGGGAAGATTGGGACAGGGATTACAGAAGAACCCAAGGACACACTTGGGGATTGATATGGGTTCCCTTCTTTGTGCTGATGGTAAACAAGTTTCCATGATGGCAGCATCATTGAACATGCTCCCTATAAATGTGCAGTTTATTACACCGTGTGCAGAAACACAGTAAATTTGCTAAAGAGAGACAACACATCTCAATGCATAAAATGTGACTGGGGAACAATGCCATGAGATGCCAGAGAGTAAAAGTCCTGCATCTGACTGAACCTTGATTCTCCATATTCCCTTTAACACTAGAATGCAGGTATGTCACACCTGTGCTCATCAAAGAAAGGGGGTTGTGCACTCCTCACCAGGTGTGCCTCACTGATTTAGGGAGCAGTGTTGTGGATGGTTGATGTCATGAACTCCTGTATACACAGCACCAACCATTGTCATTATTTTATACTTCTACATGTTTGAAAAGAAGATTAATACTTACAAGTTTTGTGTTCATGGAAAAAATTAAATAAGATCTAGTTTTCATAATGTTTAACAATCTCATGATGAGATTTTCAGTTCATACTAGATTTGTTTAATGCAAAACAAATTTCATTTTTTATTTATATACATGCTTATAATGTTTATATGCATGTATGAACAAACTTACCCCATCTATTATGGTTCCTAGTCAGCCCTCCTTTATTTTTAAACAATTTTAAAGGGTTTAATTTTTCAATGTGGCATTACTTTATCTTCATACATGTCTGCAAAGTGCTTTGATCATATTCACCTCCCAAGGTCTCTGTCCTTTCCCATTCCACCCCACTGTTTCCCCACTAAATATTCCTTCTTTCTTTAATGCAGGCATTGTCAGAATCTCTATAAAGATGGTCATATCTGTTCTGGATTCTAGCCATTCTGAATCTTCCACCAAGAGCTTGCTATATAGCAGGAGGACATGCAAATAAGGCCTCCCTCTGCTCTTGACAACCAGCCCAGCCCTGACCCTGCAGCTCTGGGAGAGGAGCCCAGCCCTGGATTCCAGCTGACCCCATTCTGTGATCATTCCTGAACACAGACCACTCACCATGGAATTGGGGCTGAGCTGGGTTTTCATTGTTGCTATTTTTAAAGGTTATTTACAGAGAACAAGAAATCTTGAGTGTGTGAGTGGACATGAGTGTGAGGAAAAGTGTGACAGTTTCCTGATTAAGATTCTCTGTGTTTGCAGGTGTCCAGTGTGAGGTGCAGCTGGTGGAGTCGGGGGGAGGCTTGGTGCAGCCTGGAGGGGCTCTGAAACTCTCATGTGTAGCCTCTGGATTCACCTTCAGTAGCTACAACATGGACTGGGTCTGCCAGGCTCCAGGAAAGGGGCTGGAGTGGATTGCAGGAATTAGCAGCAGTGGTGGTAGTATGTACTACCCAGACTCTGTGAAGGGCCGATTCATCATCTCCAGAGACAATAACAAGAACCAGCTGTATCTGCAAATGAACAGCCTAAGAGCTGAGGACACAGCCGTGTGTTCCTGTACTACAGGAACAGTAGTGACTTCAGTGTGAGCCCAGACATAAACCTCCCTGCAGTTCTATTCATGACGAGCAGGGGGAGATCAGAATACACTGATCTCAAAGACATCCTAGGTGCCTCTGCAGAAGGAAGTTAAGTGCTGGTTTCCTGTCTAGGACAGGGGCTTCCTCTCCATTGGACTATTTCCCAAAGGAGATTCTGGTTTCCTTATACAGTGCTTAATTCAGTGACTAGTGTCTCTGAAGTAGAAAAGGTTGTTTTCACCAGATGATCTTTACATTTTCATGTTAAGGGAAATAAGACAGACTCAGGGAGACAAGAATTACAAGTTTACTCTCACTAGTGGAATCTACAGGAAAAAAATGCCATTTGCATAGAATGGACGTAAGCAGAGAAAGGGAAGGCATAAGAGATACGAGTGGGAACAGGAATTGGGTTATTGTCAATCCATATAAGCAAAGTGGATATTATTCATACATGAAAACATCACAGTGAAAACCATTATTATTTTCCTGCATAATTTTTACTTCTGTGCAGTAGTAATGAAGTTGTTTTAATAGGAAGACATATTTACACCTGTATAAATGCCTAAGGGTCATTTATGGGGGCAGAAGTGATTCTGCAGTGGTCACCAGGACTAGATCTGAAGATGCTCAGGGGATCCTAGTGAGACTTTTCCCATCAGAAAAAAGATACCATGGAGGCCAAGTGAATAGGTCTCCATGACTAGGACAGTCTGTTGGGTTCATAATGATTCAGGAAAGAAGTAAACCAGGCTCACGGAATCATTAATACAAATGAATTTTAATCTCACCCTCCTCATTGTGCATAACAGCACTCAGCAAACCAAGGACTGATTTGATTGTCTGTGTTAACAAATCCACTTAATACTCCTCAGGTTTACTTCTCTTGTTCTCTGTCTTCTTCTAGGCATGAAAGACACAGTCTCCAATCTCACTACCAGGGTGGAAGTCTTTACCTGGGCTTCAGGTGTGGTTTCTGCAGGACATGGGGAAATCTGCAGAAGGTTTCTGACACAAGTGGCCCAGGGAAATCCCACAATCTTTTCTATTTCAACACATTTATAGCAGTAAACATAATCTGACAAAGGCAAGATGTCTTTTTTGAAAACAAGAAGTAGAGGTAGAAATGATATTATTCTGATCTTGCTGCAGGAAATTATGAGCTGAGATACAGGACACTGAGGCAGATTAGCAGAAAGTTACATTTATTCTGCCAGGAGAGACTCAGGAAATTTGTTTCCAAAGGCTGAGCCCAAAAACAAAGGGGTCTCATTTTATATATCCTTGTGAGCAGGTTACAGAAGCTAAAATCAAAAATCAATCCACATATGGCTACATGTGACTTCATTGGCTAATTCATTTCCCCAGTGCAAGGTGACCTTCATGTTTCAATTCTTTAAGCTTTATCTCTCTGCTTTGCTATCCCCTCCCCTTGTGTCATTGTATTAGAACACAGCCCGTCTGTTTCTTTCTTGCCCCCACCACCTTGTCTGTTATAATCTGACCACCAAAGATTCACCTCCATCACCTGTGTCATTGGAAGAGAGGCTAAGGAAAACCCAGGACCTCTGTAACCTCTCAGTTGCCTGAGTGGGCAGGGATAACTGAGTGTGTCCAAGGCATACATGTAGCTGTCCATCAGAGAGAGCAACCTGGAAGTGTTGTGCAGGAGCTGACGTTACAGCCACCACGGAATTTCATCTTCTGTCCAACTCTGGATAAATCAGACACTGCCATGGTGTCTAGGGCAGTCCTGCTGACTTAGAGTGAACTGATGATGATAAGGTCTAATACATCTTCTAAACTCCTTCACTACAGTGTCATGAATAGTGTGGGGTGGAATAAACAACATAGATCTGACAAGTTGGCAGCTAAACTAGACAATTATTCATTGTTATCCCATATTTTATATTTGACAGTAAAACCAGGTTCAAATCACAAATACCTTTAGTAGAAGGTTTTCTCAGGGTCAAGTGAGAGGAATACACAATGATGGACTAGGTTTGCAGAGTATACATTTTTAGAGAAAGTCCCTTGTGAAGGAAAATGCAGATAGGGTCACTGAGGTTGAAAAATCATCCTATGGAACATGTCCCCACTGGTACAAGAGGAATTTGGGTTGATTTTTCTAAAAAGCCAGGGTTCCATTTCTGTGCCTGCATCAGCACCTGCTCAAATCTAAGCCAAGAGCAGCTGAAGTGCCAGGTTGTGACATAAGCACAAAATAAAGATGGACTGCTAGAAATAGACTGAGCTTGGGTGTCTCGCCCTCCTAAGAGCTGGAGATACCACAAGTGCATCTCAGGAACCAGCCAGGAAGCCACGTCACCTGCACATGTAGATAAATGCCATAGCATTAGGGGCAGAAAACAATTCTGTGTACTTTAACTCCAAAAGATATTCTCAACTCTTCATAGGTCCTGTGGATATATTCAGAGAACATGGAAATGAGCCCGAGTGTCTCAGGACCTGTATTTAGTACCACAGGGAATTTTAAAATACCAAGGGATCTCAGGAACTCTGTAGGGCACTGGATACCAAGGGGTAACATCATAACCTCTGGATGAGATGTGGAAACACCAGGGGATGATCAGCTCCATATATTACAAGGGTACAGCAAAGGAGGAGGAGCCCTGAGGCCCTGGGGAGACAGATCTGAGGAGACTGGATCTCCTTCCCCCTTCACTCCTGTAAGTCTCTCCCTCATCGTATTCAGTAACATAATAGGTTTTTTAACTGCTTCATATAATTCTTCTTCAAATAGTTGTAAACCATATAACATTTTATACTCTTAATACCATATAAAATTTCTGATTATTCTTTATATATTTATTCAAGTACTAGCCATATGTCCATTCACAAATTTGTATGACCACAATAGAAGAACACTCATTTTCTATTCCTGTCCTTTATTTATTAATTTCTGAATTACTGGGAAATGAACCAACTATCTCATTCATTTTAGGAAAGCAGTTGTAAAACTGTTCAAACTCCAGTGCTGTTGTTAGCAAATAGTTTTTGAGACAGTTTCCCTAACTTCTCCCTGGGATTAGCCTCCAGCACATGATCTTCTGGCCTCTGCTTCCCAAGTTGCTGGAATTACAAGCTTGAAATGCTATATGTGGCTTAGCTCTTACATTTAATTCTTCTTTTTCCCAGTCCCTGCCCAAGCTGGTGTGTATAAATATCTATGTCCTGTTGTTATGGGTTTTTCAATTCTAGATAATTTTTGACAAGTACAATTATACAATAATGTAAGAATTTGTATCTAGGTTCATTTGCTTATAAAGATAATTTAATTTTTGTCATTGCTGTGTCAATTTTTATGAATAGATACGTGATGATGGATCTGAGCTCATGACTCACTGTGGCTCTCTGTCCAGAGTTGTCCTGTAGCAGGTGGCTGAATCTGCCAGTTACCACGTAAGATTCTGCAGTGGATAAGGCATACATAAAGATGAGGACATGAGAAACATCCCATCCTTCAAGAGTCCAGTCACCAGGACAATGGATACATCCAAGAACATGTTCGTACAGAAGTTGAGCTCTGTGACCATGGAGGACACAGCTGTGTATTACTGTATGGGATTCACAGTGAGGGGATATCAGTGAGAGCCCTAACATAAACCTCCCTGCAGGATACAGGGGGCCTGGCCTGCCTAAGTTGTTCAAATTTCACCCAGCCTTGAGTCTCAGCCCAGAAGAAGGTGCAGGAGGCAGCATCCTGGAACTTCCTGTTGGACTCCATGATTTTCTCCCCTTTCCAAAATTTCAGCTGTCCCTGGAGATGACTTTTGTTTGTTCTTTCACAAGTTCCCTCACATCCTTACTGTGACAGTAAAAAAGAATGTGTCTTTCTCTATTTAAAGATGTTTAGGGACCCAAGAGAAAGAGACTCTGGCAACAACAGAACTCTCTAGATTTCTCTCTCTCTCTCTCTCTCTCTCTCTCTCTCTCTCTCTCTCTCTCTCTGTCTCTCTCTTTCCATTCACCCATGGCAAATGTTAGAAGTATCTAACCTGTGGAGAGATGCTTATATGACAGTCAGCATAATCGCACTATGTAATATCAGTGATTGACTTTCAAAGAATCTAGGAGATCTGTGAACTTCTTGGGATTCTGAGAGCAGTGATGGAAGCCAAGACTGCAGCTATCTAGGTATTAAGAGAAGAGTCAATATTCAAAGGCTACAGAGAATGGGGACCCAGGTCTCACATCTATGTTGGCCCTCATGGATGGTTCAGTGGCTACACTTGCAAGTCACACTTAGAAACTAGGCACCAGTGGTGCTCTCTAACGTTTCCCTGAGCTGTGTCTTCAGAGGGGACTGTCAGGCTACTCTTCCACAGACGGGTAAGTCAGTGTCTTCTCCTGGCTCTGTGAACCATAGTGTGGTATCTGAAGTGAATTAAACACTAGCTCTTTGGAACTGCTTTCTCTGAATGACAGTTTTCACTGGAAAGGCATCAAGCTACATGAAGCAGTGCATGACTCAATTTTTCACTTTGTTTCTTCAGTTAAATCAGTTTCTATTTCTTAGCATGTTCTTTCCCTATTACACTCTTCTACATTTGTTCTTTTTGCCATAGTTTTGGTTGTTTTTTCTTAGCTTTCAATGTTTATTATAGCAATCATTATTTTCCTCTGCCCACTGTACTATTAGCTGAATCTTCTTCATTCTCTTCTTTTTCTTGTATTCTTTCCCATTTTCTTCACCATTTCTCTTTCCATCATATTCTTCTATATTTCCTAAACCATTCACTGTTATTCCTCATATTTCAATACTCTCACTATCCTTACTAACTATGATCACGTCACACTACCTTTGTTTCTAATTTTTCTATGGTTGCTGGAGTTGTGTGTTCAGTGTTTTGTAGTCATTACTGCATTTCCATAGAGCTGTGTCAGTCAATTGTGTTTGATTTTATATCATGTTTTCTCCTCTGTGAGTAGTGCTGGGGACTGGATCCTAGACTTGAGCATATTGGCCCAATATTTGGCCACAGATC